ATGACTCCCACCAGCCAGCTGGTTTTCAGGTCTCTGCCGCGCACGTGTGAGATGTGCGTGCATACAATACAATACAATAGCAGAGTTGGAAGGGACCTTGGAGGTCTTCTAGTCCAAACCCCTGCCTAGGCAGGAAACCCTATACTGTTTCAGACAAATGGGGGTGCATGGGGAGGTCACATGTGCAAGCACAGGGGGGCTGGGCACACGTTTGTGTGTCTTGTGCGCATTGCATTATAGGTGTGGGCATGCATGCGTGGGGGGCGGGTAATGCTGCTGACATTACTGCCGGTTCAGTGTACGTGCAATTTTGCGCTCCGTATGTGTGCGCACTTGCCCATAAATAGAATATTAAAAAATGGAAAAAAAAAAAGAACCATGCCACGGTGACCGGAGAACTGGTTCGGAGGCATGGCAGACCTGGGTCATTGCTGGTTCCGGAGACCCAGGCCAGCCAACCGTTACCCGTTTGATCGAGCCGGTCTAAACCGGTAGGAACCCACCTCTGAACGTGCGTGCTATCGCGCATGCGTGAGCACATTATGCATGGGAGGACAAAAAGTTTAGCCATCCCTGGTATAGGGTCTCCTGCTGCAGCAGCGTGTTGGACTAGAAGACCTTCAAGGTCCCTTCCGACCAGTGGTGGGATACGACCGGTACGCCCCAGTACGGGCGTACCGGTACCTGCTGGGAACACCAGCTTCCGCTACGGTGCTCTGGAGGGCCAGCCCACCTGCCCGACATCCTTACCTGTACTTGAGCCAATTGGGGCTTCTGGGCATGGTGCCTGCGCGACGCTCCACCGAGCAGCTGGAGCGCTGTGGAGCCGTTGCAGAGCGTCGCGGGCGGTAAGCACTCAAGCGCGTGCTGTGTGCGTGCATGTGGTGGACGCCCAGCCCCGTTGCACTGCACGGGTTGCAACGGGATCCGGAACCCCCCATTGCTTCCGACCCTGTTATTGTGTTATAAATCACAACGGCCTATTTACTCGGTGGATCCTACAGATGGTGGCTGTTTAGGGCAGGTCAGTCAAAGACAAAAACCTTGTGTAGAGTCAAGGGAAGGAGGAATTAGCAATTGCAGTTGCAAAATACTCTGGAGGCACCGTCTTTCGAATGCTTTCAAGGCTCCAGCTCTTGACATTCTCTTTCAGGTGTTTAGGTATAATGAGGCCCTGTGCTTTGTCTGCTGTTTTTTTTTCCCCTTCCCTCCCTTCTTCACCCTTCTCCTTCCTTTCTTCTCCACCCTGGACTCCTGCAAAATACTTAACAATTTCGTCCTAGAGGCTCAATTATGCCACTTGGCTCCAGCTTGGGAATAAATTGATAGCTTTAGGGAAAAACAACGACAGGAGGAGGAGGAGGGGAAAAAAAACCCATTGAAACTAAAAGCGATCAAAGAGAGTCGCCGTCCGCCTCCATTCAAAGAAAATCCATATTTATTGCATATTTGCTCTACTAAACTGATCTATTCAGTACGTTAACCTTTGGTAGGTTCCCTTGGTTGGTTTTTTTCTCCCCCAAGCCACACACACTCACGGTGTATACAAATATGGAGCTGTGTGTCTGAATTCCTACTTGGGCAAAACTCTTAAGCGTCTGAACATTCCTTCCCAAGGACAGGGAGTCCTGGATGTACGACCACAATTGAGCCCAGCATTTCTGTTGTTAAGTGAGGCATTGGTTAAGTGAGTTTTGCCTCATTTTATGAACGTTCCAGCCACAGTTGTTAAGTGAAGCGCTGCAGTTGATGAATGAATAACTCAGTTGGGAAGTGAATCTGGCTTCCCCATTGACTTGGTTTGTCAGAAGATCGCAAAAGGAAGGAAGATTGAAATAAGGGAGGGAGGGAGAGAGGAAGGAAGGAAGGACAGATCAACGGATGGAAGGAAGGAAGGAAGGAAGGAAGGAAGGAAGGAAGGACAGATGGACAGAAGGGAGATTGAAATAAGGCTTGGAGGGAGGGAGGAAAGAAGGAAGGAAGAAAGGAAGGACAGATCAATGGATGGAAGGAAGATTGAAATAAGGCTTGGAGGGAGGGAGGAAAGTAGGAAGGACAGATCAATGGATGGAAGGAAAGAAGGAAGAAGGAAGGAAGGACAGATGGACAGAAGATTGAAATAAGGCTTGGAGGGAGGGAGGAAAGAAGGAAGGACAGATCAATGGATGGAAGGAAAGAAGGAAGAAGGAAGGAAGGACAGATGGACAGAAGATTGAAATAAGGCTTGGAGGGAGGGAGGAAAGAAGGAAGGACAGATCAATGNAAGAAGAAGAAGAAGAAGAAGAAGAAGAAGAAGAAGAAGAAGAAGAAGAAGAAGAAGAAGAAGAAGAAGGGAAAAGAGGGAGGGAAGAAAGAAAAGTGAAAAAGGAGGGATGAAGGAAATAAAGCGGAGGGAGGAAGGAAGGAAGGAAGGAAGGAATATTAAGGTAAGATGCAAGGAGAGAATAAACCTCTTCCAGCATGAGGTTTCTGACATGAACTATTCTGCTCAACCGTACTAATGCGAAGAAAGTGCTAATGTATAAAAATGTATACATTTCCTCTCGGAATGAGATGTTGCTTATATTGCCAACGTGCTTTACATGATTAAGTAAACCATGACTTAAAGGTGATGAGGTCAGAACCGCAGCCTCCGTGAATATAAAATAACAAGGGCTTCCAAGGGCTCAATTCTCATTTTCAAACGGGGCTTAGCCAAAGGTTAGGAGGTGATAAGAAATATCCTGACAGCCTGAGGTCAAGGGTTCAAGAAATGTGGCCAAAGATATTATCAACTTGGAAAGCCATTTCCTCAAATCAACACTATGGGGTTGTTGTTGTTTTTTTTGTTTTAATTTTGTAAAGAAGAACTGATCAATCAAAAGCTTGAGTGGTGCATTCCCTCTCTCTAAATATATACCTATATTTTCGGAAGATGTTCTTTTGAACAAGGGCCTTCTTATCAAAGCAAAGGTCAGCTCTGGGGTTTCTCATTCACTTAATGATCTTTAATGACAGATGACTGTCCATAGAAATTCTTTTTCACCCGATGTTGAGTGAAGCCTTCGACTTCGCTGCAGGATCTCCCTTCTTTTCCTTCGCAAGGCATGTCTAAGACCTGAGGTCATTTGAACCAACAAACAAGGCCCGTAGGTCTGTCTTATCTCATCGGTCACCCAACGGAGAATTTTTTTGGAAGGGTTCTAATGTTTAGCATCTGTGGAAGGCGATCTTCCTCCACTCCCTTCCCTGCTGAAAACACATCCTGGATGGGCCCAGTGAGAAAGATAAGAGTAGTGTAGTGTAGTGTAGTGTAGTGTAGTGTAGTGTAGTGTNATTGAAATAAGGGAGCAAGGGAGGTAGAGAGGAAGGAAGGAAGGAAGGATGGACAGATAGACGGAAGGAAGATTGAAATAAGGCTTGGAGGGAGGGAGGGAGGACAGATCAATGGAAGGAAGGATGGATGGAAGGAAGGAAGACTGAGATAAGGGAGGGAGGGGGAGAGGAAGGAAGGAAGGACAGATCAATGGATAGAAGGAAAGAAGGAAGGACAGATGGATGGAAGGAAGATTGAAATAAGGCTTAGAGGGAGGGAGGAAAGAAGGAAGGACAGATAAAGGGAAGGAAGGAAGGACGGAAGGAAGGAAGGAAGGAAGGAACATCGAAATAAGGGAGGGAGAGAGGAAGGAAGGAAGGACAGATCAAAGGATGGATGGAAGGGAAGAAGGAAGGAAGGATGGATAGATGGATGGAAGGAATATTGAAATAAAGCTTGGATGGAGGAAGGGAGGGCGGGCAGATCAATGGAAGGAAGGATGGAAGGAAGGATGGAAGGAAGGGAGGAAGGAGGGAAGGAAGGAAGACTGTGATGAGGGAGAGAGGGAGGGAGGGAGGGAGGAAGGAAGGAAGGAAGGTAGAAAGGAAGACAATTAAAGTAAGATGCAATGGGAGTATAGAACAACCCAGGAATGTTCAAATGAAGATTAAAAAGATCAGTTGGTTAGTTTCCCTCTTTAGAGTCTAAAGTGAGACATGCTCAAAACAAGAAAACCTAGAATACGTAGATATCGAAACATTTTTAAAGAAAGAGGGTACAGCAGCTGCAGGGAACGGTCTTACTTTTTCTACTTTTTCTTCCGTGCGATTTCCATCTCTTTCTATTTTTCTAAACGTATCAAGGGCCTACTGTGCTCTCATTCAATGCCACTTTCTCACCTCACCAGCCACTCTTGACGCCGAGCTTGTCGTTCAACCAGGAGGGGGAGAAGGCTGCTGATTTTTTCATTCCTTTGTTCCTCCATCTGTTCTTCTTTTCGTAATTCACGGAGCAGTAGACTCGTCTTCGGGGTTGGGTGGGGAGGAGAGGAGGGGGTTAGGGAGAGGTTGGCAGCAAAGAGAGAGAAAAAAAAGCCATAAACGTTATAAAACAAATAAAAGAAAGAAACAAAGCATAAAATTAATTAAGCAGACCATAAGCAAATAGGGACAGTAAATCAATGCGCCTTTTTATTACACTTCTATGGCCTGGAAATCAATACAGTAAACGACGGGTCAAGAAGGGGACCAACCTCGCTTTGGTATTTAATCAAAGTACATGAAATCTTCAGGTGAAAATCTTAAAGCATCATCAGGTTCGTATTGGGAATTCATTTTTGTCAGGTGCAATTATTTGGTATTTTTTCTGATAAATACCAAAACAAAGCAAACCCCAGCCCAACCCAATATTTGGAATATTTGGAATGCAGTTTTCTAGAGATACATTTTCAGTCTCATACTGTTCTTTCTCATATGCTATTTATTAGGGGGGGAGGAAGGAAGGAAGGAAGGAAGGAAGGAAGGGAAGAGGAAGGGAAGGAAAAGAGGAAAGGAAGGAAATAGTGAAAAAGGGAGGGAGAAAATAAAGCAAAAGNCCTTGAGCCGGTGGGATTTGAACCGCTGAACTGCAGATAACAGTCAGCTGAAGTGGCCTGCAGTACTGCACCCTAACCACTGCGCCACCTCGGCTACTTTTAACTCCTTGACAAAGAGTTGGAGCCAGATAAAATCAGGAATAAATATGGAGTCCAAGCACTATAGGCATTGGGTAGACTTCTCAACTTACAAGCATCTGTTTAGCAACTGCTCCAAGTTACAACAGCACTGAAAAGAACTGACTTATGACTGGTCCTCACATGTATAATTTACTCCAGCATCCACACGGTAAAGTAATCAAAGTTTGGGTGATTTGTCAACTGAATTGTATTTATCATTTGATCACCATTTTTGACCTTTCCAGCTGGCTTCCAAGAAGTGAAGGAGGGGGGGGGGAATGCTGGTTTCGCTAAATGACCTTGTGATTCACTTAACAACTGCAGTGATTTGCTAAGCAATAGCAATGGCACTTAGACTTATCTACTGCTTCACAATACTTCACAGCCCCCTCTACACCATTTAGAGTCAGCCTCTTGCCCCCAACAATCTGGGTCCTCCTTTTACCAACCTCGGAAGGATGGAAGGCTGAGTCAACCTTGAGCAGGTTAGGATCGAACCGCTGGCAGTCGGCAGAATTAGCCTGCAATACTGTATTCTAACCACTGAGCCGCCATGGCTCTTATGGTATGGGGTCTCCTCCTTGAGCAGGGAGTTGGACTAGAGGACCTCCAAGGTCACTTCCAACTCAGTTATTCCATCATTATTCGGTTTTGGGGCACAATTGGGACATTTTCACTGTCCTCCATCAAATATGGTGCATACCCTGTACAGGCACTCCTCAACTTACAAAAGTTCGCTTAGTCACCAGGTTAAAACGGTGCTGAAAAAGAGCGACTTAAAGCAATGGCATTTAGACTTATATACTGCTTTGTAGCAATAGCACTTAGACTTAAATGCCACTTTACAGCCCTCTCTAAGCAGTTTACAGAGTCAGCCTCTTGCTCCCAACAATCTGGGTCTTCATTTTACCCACCTCGGAAGGATGGAAGGCTGAGTCAACTTTGAGCTGGTCAAGATCGAACTGGTGGCAATCGGTAGAATTAGCCTGCAATACTGCAATTGAACCACTGCATCACCATGGCCCTTCCTTCCTTCCTTCCTTCCTTCCTTCCTTCCTTCCTTCCTTCCTTCCTTCC